CAACGTCGCGGATGCGGATAATCGATGAACGATTCACGCGCAAACTTGCGCAGGGTTTCAACAGGCGGTCAAAAAGTCGCGAGCATTCCGGATGGCTTTCTACGCGCGCGATGCACTCTCGCTCGAAATTCCGAACGTTCCTGATCCTAGCGCGCACACGGACGACCGCACGTGTGCGCCAAAGCATACACGAGAGAACGTAAATGCCATAAGGAAGTCATTAATCTACCGTGACTTCCAACAGCTATCTTCGGCCCATGCAAAAGGATGTTACCGTGCTGCAACCGCGACCCGACTGCGAGGCAACGACACCTTCCCGACTATCTTGAAGGACAACATTCCACAGCCGACTCATGGAGTCTACGATGTCCTTGCCGCGTGTCGCGCGATTCCGCGACTACCCTTCCTATCGTGTCATTTTTCTACCGAACAGCCCGACTCCTCGATCTCGGCATCAGCTTTCTTCGCTCGACATTCGGAACTAGCGCGCTCCGTGACAAAGCGATACGATACCCGAGAATCTTTAGTCCTTTCCAAAACTATCGCGCGATATATTTTTACCATCGACTGCTCGTGCTCCATCTCACAGGAATATCCTATTTCGAAACGTTTTGTTCCTGAACAGATTGAACGAAGTTTTCCCCTATTATCGTAAAAGGTGCCAGCTGCCTCGAACACGTTGGTAATGCAAATAACAGGCGTGCAGGAGCACGAAGGAAAATTGGAAAACGAAAACAAAACGAAACTCACGGGCGTTGATAAGAGTCGGGGAACAACGACCCAGACACGATGTGGGCCTTCGTATCAGAAATACGTGGACGCAAGTGCTCGAAAAGCAGCGTAGACACATCGAGGGCACTATCGATCGTTTCTGAACTCCAACGTGGTGCCGTGGTGTTTTGAGGTCGTCGTCCTTTCCAGTTACACACGAGTCGATAATACGTGCGAACTTTTCTATGAACCGCCCCGAGTTCTATCCGATTATTCGACATGGTTCATCCATTAAACAGCCGGGATCTTTGCCACTCGGTGATGGAAATATTCGCGAATCTTTTTCGTTTCGGTTTTCTCGTTAATTTTCGTCCATCGACCGAGATCTCCCCTCGTTTTAAGAGGATACTCCGGCGTAGCGCGTCGGAATAGTCTGTGGTAAAGAATGTGGAGCCCATACGGCACGAAACTCTTCAAATGCGTGCGTTTTTCTCGAAACGATATCTTTGAAAGTAGGGTGTACATTTTTCTCGGAAAATTTCTGGGCGGATCGGTTTGAAATTTCACTCGCGCATGGAATACATTTCTGGTTGTCGTTCGACCGTCCATACCACCGACTGAGTCGGTTTGATAGCTTTCTTTTAAATATAATTCTTACGTCAGCACATCATCTCGAAACGAATAGACCGTCGACTCGCGGGAGGAAAGAAGAATCCGTTTAAGGTTGGTTTAGTCGTGTTTACCTCAAAGATGCGACGAGCAGCGATTCGTTTAACTTCCTTCTTGGTATTGTTCCTGCGGTTCTTTACTCTCTCGAGGGGCGAGTCTTTGCACGCGTGGCCACGAAAAAGCCCGCGTTTGAGTACTGGGTAAACATTAACGCTGCAACGAGAGGGAAGGAGCGAAAATTGGTGGTGGGATCCGCAGACAGGATGGAATGTGGGCGTGCAGCGTCTGGATACGCAAGGGAAACGCGTGTTGCGGTGTCCGGGAAACGAGTCGACCGAATTGCTGATACACACGTTTCTCGTTTTTCTTTCCCTCCCTTTCGCTCGCTCATTTTGCCAGGCTATCGCGGTTTTTCCTTAACGCGATTGTTCGCCCCGTCGCGCGTCTTCCGCTCTTTGTTTCGACGACGAATAGGATCATTAATTGCAACCCAGTTGCGTCACCACACCTGGCATCTTCGCGCGATTATAATACAGCTGGAACGTATGCGATTACCATACCGTGCCACCGACATAAGAGTACGAAATTCCATGCACTTTCACTGGACGGAACCGTAAAATTGTCAGTCGTAATTATTACGACTCGATTACCCGATTTAAGAGAAGAGCACGCGATGGAAGATGCATTTACGCAACGAAACTTGTCCCCTTTCGGCGTCAAGTAACAGTGGAACAATTAGCCCTTTGCCACTTAAGGTCGATTCAGACTATACGACACGTACCGGCACCGACACGACGAAACATTAAAACACGCGTTTGTTTTAATTGAACTATTCACACTTAACGGACGCCAACCTGAACGTTCCGTCAACAGGAATAGTGCGTATAGTTCCATTAAAACGCGTGTTCTTAATGTTTTGTCGTGTCGGTCCCGGTACGTGTCGTTGCCGGAACGTGACGGTCCGTGTCGTATAGTCTGAATCGACCTTTAAATGGTGGCGTAAGCTTTTTTTGTGGACATAGAAATTTCCCTGATCAATTCATACATTTTGTATAAACTAGAAAAGACCAAAAAAGAGGAAAAGCCACTGAGCCATCTGCGATTTCTGAAAACACTTGTCGAACAATTGAGAAGATTATATCGCCAGCAACGAGAGCAAGCGTCTACGTCGCATTCCGATAAAGTCCGACTAAACGGGAAGCTTCACGTAATACTAAAAGGGCCAAAAAGGGACTGCAAGGTTTGTTCTGACTGTAACACACCTGGAGGTAGGCTGGAAATTTCGTATTACTGCGATACGTGTCCTGACAAACCTGGGATGCATCTTGGATATTATTTTCCAAAATGTCACATCAAAACTAATTACAGTGTACGAGGTCCGCAGTTGTTTCAACGACGCCGAATCGCATTCGGCGCAACCGATGCGAGTGACTTGCGACTGCTCGTCGAACTCACCTCGAGATCGGTCGGAATCTCGCCTTTTATGTACTTTTTACGTTTTAAGTGTTTCTTTACGTTGCGGCGCGAACTACTTTGGTTTAAATAATAATATATTATAATAGCTAACTTTACGTGCAGTTTGTTTGTTTGTTTGTTTAACACCTTACAACAGAGTGCAAGTAATATTTATCAAAGTTTGTTGTTTTCGACATATAAATGAATAAACTGGTGGTATTTTATTATTTGTATACGTTTGTTTGTTTATAAATGTTTTTAAAGTACTTGTAAAGTACGCAAGCGAAAAAGGCCTCGAGCGCAAAGGGTTACAACTGCTACGACCTATCGCTAACCGTACGCGTTGACTCGAAGCGACTTAAAATTCAGATTAGTCTCGGGATAAATCACGATAAATAGTATCGTGCCGTGTAGCGTGCTCTCTAGTCTCGAGGAACTCGTTCGACCGGAGAGAAAGGGTCGTTCGGATCAGAGTCGTCGGGGGAGCATAGTTTTGGTCGAGTTCGTCGGACCGCCTCTTGCGTAACACGGCCCTGAGCCGTAGTCTTACAACGGTAATGGAAGCCTCTAGCAGGCTTCCTCCTACGGACCAACAAAACCCGTTTCTTCTTACAGCTTAACGATCGTGCACGCGTCAGAATTTATAAGAGACAGAGAGGAGCCAAGGGATCGCGGAGGGAAACGAGAGAGCCCCTGTCCGACGAAAAAGAAGAAAACCAGCAAGTTTGACTGTATTAGGGAGACGGAACCTCCTGGAATCATTCCTAGTTTAAAGCAAACGATGCATCGATCCTCTTGGGAAATCCGACAAAGTCGTCCAGGAACTTCCGAGAAGGGAAACAACGTGCTTCCTGGTAGCCTCCGACAAGACAAAACGAGACGAAAGAAAGTAAATTTTCCAAAACTACCGAAGAATGGTGCTTCGTGTTTTTCAACGAATGGGATGACGCAGTTTCTCATGGAAAATTAGAAATTCCTTTCAGTCGAAGACAATAGATGTGTCTAGATCTACGAACCGATCCGACACTTTGTAAATAACTTTTTTTCTTCGCGAACCACCAAGTTTTTCTCGGGTGTCTTTTTTACAGGATGTCTCAACTCGACTGGTCGAATTCATCCAGACCTCTTTCGCAAACGCCATCCTCGTCGTGTTATGGCGCACCGTTGAAAAACGACACCAGGCCGAGATCGAATTTGCGGTGAACCTCGAAACCACGAATCGTGATCGACGTGGCCGGTGTTCCAGTTCACGTATGCCTCGATCGCTGACAAACTGGACCTCGATATCGAGCACGGTGACAGACTTGAAAAAGTTGGCAACAATTGCCGGGTGATACTTTCCCAGTATTGGTTTAGAACAAATCGAATGTTCGCGATTGTCAATAATTAAATCTTGGAGCCAAATATTAGGTTGACGCAAACATCGGGTTGTCCGGAATGTTCGTGGCAATTTCTAAGAAAAATTCTAAAGCACGTTTGAATTTTAATGTATATTTATTGAATTACATAGGTGACATTTTGTTCCACAACCTTTCCATCTTTTAAGGGATGTATACATGTTATTTGTTTTCAATTATTCCCATGTATTCAGACCTGTACCACCTACCAAAAATCGTCATGGACTTTCCGGACAAACCCGATACAATACTTTTCGAAGTCTCTTTCTAGCCACGACCCGTTTGGGAAAATGTAACCGGGTCAGCGAAACGGAAACGAGCCGATCGTTACGCACCGTGCGTACGATCGGCGCGCGAAGAAGGTTCGATGAAAATAACCCTTTCGAGCCCTCTGTCGTTGGCGCACGTGAGAACCGGTAGTTCGCCGTCGAAAGGATGTGGGCGGTCTCGGATTACGAGAATCCTCGACATCGCTTGGATATTTGCATTCATACCACATTCACGCCAGTCCTTATGATCTTCGAGTCGTAAAATATATAAACGCAACGACAAGTAGAATATTAGAGGAGATGCGATTCCGAATGAACAAATTCGACGGAAAATCTATTTCACTAACGCTTTCTTTCGAGGTAAAATTGGAAAATGTTTATCAACTTGTATCGTTATGGTCGACTGTCGACGAATAAAGGTCGATTCAGACTATACGACACGGACCGGCACCGACGCGACGAAACATTAAAACACGCGTTTTAATGGAACTATTCACACTTAAAGCCGGCGACTGACTTGCAACGGAACGCTGTAATGTAACTGCTCGGCACGAATTGTACGGTTCGACACCAACGTTACATTACAAGGTCCTTTTTGGATTCACGAATGCTCGCTTCGAACTCTCGGCTGAATTCTCCCTCGATGCTTCCTACTCAGTTCGGTGAAAAGTAGACGATCAAAGAGGTTCGTCAAAAACCGACAGACCAACTGGAGCACGATCGAGCGCAAGAACGGGTCGGTTCGTCGCTCGCTATAGTTCGCCAAACTAAGCGAATGCTCGCGTTACATTACAATGTTCTGTTGCGAGTCAGTCGCCGGCTTAACAGACACCGACCTGAACGTTCCGTCAACGGGAATAGTGTGAATAGTTCCATTAAAACGCGTGTTTGAATGTTTTGTCGTGTCGGTGCCGGTACGTGTCGTTGCCGGTACGTGACGGTCCGTGTCGTATAGTTCGAATCGACCTTAAGTCAGCAGCTACGGGATTAAGAGACGCGCGCTCTCGCCTAGCAGAGAACACGTTTACGTAAATGTATTCATCGTTCGGTAATAATTCGTGCACGGGACGATCGTCGATCCTCGCGAACGAAAGAGAAAAACCGGTGGAATAAGATCACCAGTCGGCGACACGAGCGATTTTAATCGTGCTCGCGATCTGGAAGAGGACGAACCGCGGGAAGAGAACGAAAAGAATGAAACGACGCGGGCAAATATAGGTAGAAAGGAACAGGTAATAGAGGACAACACAGAAGCAGAGAGAGACGGGGAAAGATGCATCGTAATGAGTCGCGTTTGCAAGGACAAGCAGAGCGTGGCCGAGCGGGCCAGTGCACATTGCATTCATGGCCGCGATCTCGTGGATGCGTCTTTTCCCGGTCTGTGTGTGCGAGAGCCACCGAGCGCAGGAATAAACGCAACAAAAACGCGGTCGCGTTTATCGGACGAAGGCACACCGTGGTATCCGCGCGGCTCGTAATCGGAGCCGAGTAAAATATTCTATTAAACAACGAACGGTAACCATGAAAGTAAAATAGTTTCTCTGTTGGTATATGTGGTGAATTGTTAAACGGATTAGATTTCTACGGAGGACCCTCGAAGTTTCACGGCGCGGTTCGTTTGCTCGGATTTTCTACTCGGCGAGCAGACGACCGAGAAAGAGTTCCCGTTAATGGACGTCGAGCGACTCGTGCTCGATAGGCGGGAATTCGCTCGGGATCTGTCGACGCGCGCGGGTTCAAGTGATGTTTAAATAGAAACTGCGTTGCAGCGTTTTCACGGGCCCGAGAAACGCGTTCAGATTTTCGCTCAACACGGCCAGGAGAGTTTACCACTACGGAGCAATTTACAATCGCGGAGAAACTGAAGGGGAATACGCGAATCGCTTTCTAAACATCGCCGGACACGAGATCCCATCGTTTTTCGAATTGAAGTCAAACGGGCCCGTTTCCATGTCGTGCGAATTAGGGCGGAGGCCTACTAATTTCATATTTCGACTTTTCAGGACTCCGTTGAGACCTCCTGGCCCCCCTATAGCTCGGGTACCTCGGGTTTGCTAAACCCGTACTGCAGTTGTAATTAACACGTTGACTGCCAAACGAATATTCTTGAAAATTTCTGCTAAGATTTAATATTATTTAGACTATCGAAGTCTAGGTAATGAAACATTTATCGTGGTATTTAGTTTTGTAACTACATCAAAATTCGTGAATTTCATTTAGATTCATCTCTGTGTGACGTCTAACTTTCAGAATTAATCTTTTTAGTTCTTGAGTGAAAAACACTGTTACCCATATATGGGTGCCATGGCGATCAACGTGTTAAACATAGCTACTGCCCCTGAGGGTAAAAATCAAACGTATTCCTCCGCGCGTGAGAGGGAAATCTCTAGTGACGGTGGAACGTTGAAACCAGGAGTACAGAAAATTGGGGTTACGCCGCTCTTTCAGCACCTGTCAGCTGTTCACACCTGCGCGCGTCACCTGGACAGGCGAGCAAAAAATCGAGGCCTACGTTCCCAATAATCGATATCACCCGTAATTAAATAATTCCGACAGGACGCCAGTGTTCTCTGCGAAATAAAAATCACCCTGCCAACGTCTCTTTCGTTTTGTACGCGGTTTTCTTGCTAACGAGGGATCGAGTTCCGTCGCGACGATCCGAAGCTCGCGAAAGGAACACATTGGAGAAAGAAAAAGGAAAAAATTGGAACGTCGAGATCAGAATGTATACATAGATTTTCTGGCTCGCACGGATTCCGCGAAGCGTTTCCGCGGCCGTAATTACGGAACGAGCTGGTAACGAGAAGCCCTAATTAGCCTAATGAAATCTGCTAATGAAATACGCTCCAGTCTCGTTGAGACTCGTACGATCGAACTCGCAGAATCGATCGCGACGCGAGCGACATCGCCGGGAATAATCCTCCTTGTAGCCCGTTACGTCTCAAGATGTCTAATCTTGTATTTCTTATTCGATACTGATCTCCGCGCAAATTAATATTGCAAATTGCAGCTCCATATTTAAGACGTTAGTCGTTACATATAGATCGTTGCTTGTTCCCGAGGAGAGCCTTCGCAAATTGACCGAAACATCGAACGCGCATTACTTTCCAAACTGATGCGATGCTAGTTTCTTTTTATATCCGCATCAATGACTGTCCTATAAACCGACAGACACTCGACGTATCAACGCGAAATTTCTACCAAACAATTACATCGATGATATTAGACGAACCGGAAAATAATGTCGTTTTTGCAATTTTAAATACTAGTTTATCGTTCATCAGCTCATCGATTTTTATCGATCTGGCATTGGCAATTTGCACACTAGACGGCAAAAGGCTATGTGATAACGGGCGCGATTATACAATTAATAATTAAAAATAGAAATTTATAAAAAATTTGTCTGAATTTAATGTCAAAGAAACGACATTACTTTCCAGTCCACTTAATATCTTATTTTTATGAATGATTCTGCAATATACACAAAGTGTTATCTGTAAATTCTATAAATTCAGCGTTGTTCGTGGAAACCGTTCAATGAGATTCCAATTCTAGAGACGCGCGCGGTTGTCGACAATGGGAAGCAAGCGAGATAAACTGGGCCAAACACGTCCGTTGTAACGACGTTTTTAGGAGAGAACCGTCGATACCGCGGAAATGCCGTCAAGCCGCACGGTCCGCGGCTTCTTTCGCGCACGAGGAAGCGTCGCGAAACACGTGTACTCGATTCGAAAGGAGCCAAGCCTCGCCAGTGGCGAGCAGAACGTGTCGTAATATTTACAAAAGGGGCGCGATTTCACCGAGAAGGCGATCAGCAACGATGGGACCAGCGACACGAAGCGTTATTCCGTCAGTGAAAACGGAGGCTGATCTCTCGAAATCTAGCGGCGACTACCGTTTCCGGCGTTGCTGACTTATCGTTTGAAACTTTCTCCGATTGCGGCAACCGTTCTGTTCGTCGAGCTATGCAACTCGAGGAATCGTTCTAGACCAGCGCCTCGTTCGCGGGAATTTTTCCCACTGTTTAGATCTATGTAACGCACGACGATCACCGACTCACCCTAACGATCTTTGGTTTGTACAAATCGCGAGATTTAACACGTTGATCGCCATGTCACCCACATGTGGGTGACAGTGCTTTCCACTGAAGAACTAAAGAAATTAATTTCGAATCGAAGGAATTCAAGAGCATCAAAGGAAATGAATTTAAACCAAATTCATGAATTTTGATGAAATTACAAGAATAAATATAACGATAAATGTTTGATTACGCAGTCTCCGATAGTTTAAATAATATCTCATTTTAGTAGAAACTTTAAAGGATATTTGTCTGGCAGTCAACTTGTTAAAACAAAGATTGATGCAGGGAGATTAGTTATACTCCGCTAAATAGTAAACGCAAGAAGTTATCACTGCGGCTGACGGAACGACGGAGTACCGAATACGACGCCTATGTTCAAGTCGGAACAAAAGTTGGAAGATGCTTTCGAGAATCCCTTTGTCTCGATCGAAGAGAACTTTACCCGTCAAGAACGTTAAATACGCGAGGAAAGTTTCGGCGAGGCCGTGATTAAATCGAGCTCGCCGTGTACAAAGTGTCGCGGCTGGCCGCGACGCGAAGTCGTTCAACCAATTTCATTCGAAAATCAACGACCAGGAGAACTAAAGCCCAGAATCTTAAATGCAATTCCGTCGTTCCCGACATTCGTTGATTTTGCCACATAAAATCGCTCCTTAGGCCGGGACCACACTATGCGTTTTCGCCGCTGCGGCGCGCGAAAACGAACGCGATTTAACCGGAAGGCTACTACATACATTGCTGCGATTTTAACGCAGTCAATCTATGCAACGTCACAGACCGAATGACCGCATCCGTCATAACCGCAGCGGCAAAAACGCATAGTGTGTCCCCGGCCTTAAACTTGCCGACACCTGTTGCCGAATACCGCATACAATCGTATCAAGATTCACGTTCGATTAATAAAAGCTTAAACGAATAATTGTTTAATCGAACACGCGTATATATTCTCGATCTATTAGACAAAATCCTGTCCACCTATATAGGCGAGGAGCACGGTACCGGGCAGACGGTGTTTAACACGTTCACTGCCGGACTGATTCCCAATTAACCTTACAGGGTTAAAATTGTGTCTCGAGACAGTTGTAAATTAACACATCCGACGTTTGTCGTGTTACTTATTTTTGTATCGTCGTCAAAATCTACGAATTCTATTCAGACTTATTTTCATTGATACATTAGCTCTTAAAATAAACTGCTGAAGTTCCTTAGGAAAAATCTCTGTCACCCATATACGGGTGACGTGGCTTTCAATGTGTTAATCGATCCGCGAGTGATCGTACAGCTCCTTTTCCGCGTGATCCAAAGTCACGACTTTTCCGTGCCGTAATGTAAGTCACGACTCAGCGATGACAACACTATTGATAGACAGTTTTGCGCCACGATATCTGTCGGTAATCGTACGCGTTGTGAGGACATTCATCTTGGGTTTTTTCTACCGATCAAGTTGAAACAACAACATCACGGCGTCCAAACCGTAGCAAAGTAAGACGAGCGAGATGACGCGAGGAAATCTAAGAAGGAAACTTTGACCAATAAAGTAATCGCTAACACGGCACTCGAACGGCTTTACGTCGCGTAAAAACGGGCCTTAACGCTCGGCAAAA